CTGTATGTATATTTGTTGGGATCTTATGATTTTGGTAGTAACATCATAAGGCGAGTGTTTGTGATTCATGTTGTTTTTGGTTTTATTATTGTGTTTTTAATACTATTACATATTGTGAGTTTACACAAGGTAGGATCTAGAGATTCATTTAAAAGAAGTGATAGTTATTCGGATTCTGTTTTTTTTCATAAGCTATACACTCGTAAGGATGTATTTGTGTGGTTAGTGGTGTTATTTGTTACAATGTTTTTAGCTAAAGCTGCTTTTGTGTCTTTGTTGGTGTTAATGACACTAGAGGTGGCATTAGGGTTGGTAATAATTAGTCGGGTGTGATTTCTAGGTGATTTAGGATTTATGGTTTTACCCTAGGGTTTTTTGGTTGTTTGTTAATATGAACCCCACTCATTGGTGAGATAGGATCTGTACTGTGTTCCCATTATTGTGGTGTTTTTAGAATTGACACCGTGGGTATGTGTCTATTTTTTTTGGTTATTTTATTGTTTTTTTGTTTAACACCACTTCTTTTAAAAATTAAAAAGATAACCAAGGTGTTGATTTTTTTTTAGTTGTTTTTGTGGAAGCCTAAGCTTTATAGCTAAAAACTGTTTATTTTTTGGTTTTGCTATGAGGCATCCATAATTAGGGTGTTGTTTTTGTTATATTTGGATTCTCCGTATTCTGAGCGTTTTATAGCTGGTTGGTATCTAATAGGTTATTCTATTTTTTCTGGGGTACCCCTCCTGTGATTTTTTATTTATATTTCAAGGGGGTGTGGAAGATTTTTGTTTTCAGATTGAGGTAATTGTTCTTATTGTGTGGAGATTTTTGTTGTTTTGGCTTTACTATTTACAAAAAAGATACCGTTGGCCCCATTCTATACGTGGTTACCAATTGTTCATGCCGAAGCTAGGACATTAGTGTCTGTATGTTTGAGTGGTTATATTATGAAGTTAGGAGTGATAGGTGTGTATCGGGTGTTTTCTTCCTTATTTTCTGATATAATTGGTGTGGTATTTTATACATTTTTTGTGGTATTGTTTTGTATTTTATGTTTTTTATCTTCTTTGATTGAGTTGGATGGAAAGCGCTGATTGGCATTTTTGAGTTTAGCCCACATGGCGGTTATACTATTGTGTTTTCTGTGTTACTCTGGGCTTGGACACCCAACCATGGCATTGTTTGAGCTTAGTCATGGTATGTCATCCGGGTTTCTTTTTTTGTTAATTTGGTTTTTTTCATATATGGGTGGCACCCGAAATGTTTTATATTTTGGTTGATCATTTAATACATCGTGGTTTTTAATATTTGTTTGTTTTTGTGGGTTTTGTTATGTTGCAAAATTTCCACCCACTATTGGTTTTTTTATTGAGGTTTGGTTAGTAGGTTTTATTATTAAAAATTTTGTTTTGGTGGGTGTGTTTTTAATATATTTATTTCTGAGAAGGTTGGTTCCTATAATATTGTTTGGTTTTGGCTTTATACGACGTGTTGGCGTTGATAATTTTAAAAATTTTATGTTTCCAAGTATAGTTTCCATGTTAGGCTTGGTTGTTTTTCCTCTAATTATTTCATTGGTGTAGTGCGATTTTAAATAGAATGGTGTAAAGCATACTGTATTTTGGTTGCAGAGGAAACCAGGTGTTTTCTATTGAATTTTGGCTAGCTTAAAGAGAGCACTAGTTTGAAGAACTACGGGTGAAGTATTTTCGCCAAAAAATGGTTTCTCGGTTTTGTGTTGTGTCTTTTCAGCTTATGGTTGTACAAAGTTTTTATTATTCTTATTTTACTGTGTTGTGTTTGATATTATTACTTGTTTCTCAATTTCCTTATGTTTGGAGTTTTACAACAATTTATGTTGTTATACCAGTATTGGTTGGTCTTCGGCCATTGGGGGTATCAATATATAAATTGTTTAGTTTTATTAAGATATTAAAGCTTTCTATACCAACAGGCCTCCCATCGCCTGTGTTTTC